TGTGTGTGTGTGTGTGTGTGTGTGTGTGTGTGTGTGTGTGTGTGTGTCCGTTAACGCTCTAACGACTGGCGCTGCTCATTCCAGGTTCACCTCAGATGGCAGAGAAACACAAGCATTCCAGAGAAAACGCCTGTTTGTCTCCACGAGACCGACCGGTCAGCGCCATCTTCCCCAACCCCCTCGACCCGGCACAGGTCAGTACACACATGCACGATTATTTAAACACATTTACTCCTGCTCTCTTAAGGACGGGTAATTTGATATAATGCACATTAACTGAAATACTTCACTCGCGTGGTATTCTAAATGGAATGGATAGATAAATGCACTTTTGCTGTTTTGCACAATTTTAAAGGTGCAAAAATAAGATGAGGTTTCTAAAAGATTTAGTTCTCAAATAAATTTTCCAATAACTCAAACTTTAACTAGAGAAGTTGCGTTTCCTGCGAAAATGCAGTGTGAATGCTTATTGCTGAAGAACTTGCTGAAAAACTTGCTGAAATGTACCTGAAATGGAAGAACAGGCTTAAGTTAGCAGAAGAAAGCAGAAAGACCACATATTTGCTGAATTAGATTTAAATAAGCAGAAATGAGCACAAAAGTTCAGAAAGTAGCTAAAAAATAAGTCTGAAATTAACAAAAAATAGCCGAAAAGTAGCTGAAAAGGCAGAAAGAAGCTGAAGCTACCAGAAGGATGTGAAAGGAGCTGAAATGAGCACAAAAAATGTGGAATTAGCTGAAAAAGCTAAGTTTAGCACAAAACGGCTAAAAAGTAGTTGAAATAGTAGAACAAGCTGAAATTATCAGAAATAAATTAATTAGGCTGAAAGTAGCAGAAATTACCACTTTTTTAAATCTGAAAACAGCTGAAATTAGCTAAAAATGCTTTAAAAATAGCTGAAAAGGTAGAACAAGCTTACATTAGCAGAAGAAAGCAGAAAGAGCACGTTTGCTGAAAGAAGCAGAAATGAGCTCAAAAAGTGGAAATTTTCTGTAAAAAAGCCGAAATTAGCATAAAACAGCTGAAAAGTATCTAAAAAGGAGAAAGAAGCCTACCAGATAGAATTGAAGAGAGCACATTTTTGCTGAGTTAGGCTGAAAAAAGTTAAAATGAGTGGAAAAATGTGGAATTAACTGAAAAGACAAATTAGCATAAAACAGCTAAATAGTAGCTGAAATAGTAGAAAAGGATGAAACTTGCAGAAATAAGCCAAAAGGAGCATAACAAGCTGAAATTAGCAGAAAGAAGTTAGAAGAAGCATAAAAATGTTTTAGTTAGCCAAAAGAATCTGAAAGGAGCACAAAACAGCTGAAATGAGATGAAAGTAGCTGAAAAAATAGTTAAATTTGCACGAAGAAGCTGAACCATAACAAAATGTGAAAGGAGCACTAAAAGGTTGTAAACGGATCTAAAGATTTGAAGGATGTAAAATGAGCTCAATCCATGTTATTTGAGGAAAAAAAATGGCAGAAAAGGTTAAATATTTCAAAAAGCTAAAGCTGCACCAATAACAAAGGTCATAACAAGATCGTCCTGAAAGAGCTGAACATCTTGAAATATGATTTGTTGAAATAGTTTGAAAATTTCAGGATGAGAAACGCTCTGAAAAACTTTCAGAGGATAAATGGATAATGGTGTGAACGCTTCATAAACATTCACACAATTAACTGTTAAAAACTGTGGCTTGTGCAAAATTATCATGAGGAAAGTCCAAATGTTACAGTTAGTAAACATGACCCAGAACTCCAAACAATAAAATATTTGAAGCTCATAAAGCAGAAAGCACTGAAGACAGAGCAGAAGTTTTCAGGAAGCTGTTTCCTCAGTTTGAGATGTAATTAAGAAATGCCAGTGAATGAGAAACGATGCATATTCAAAAGGTCAAATAGATGTTTTGACCAATGATTCAATAAACAAAGACATGGTGGGAAACAATAAAATCCTCACAAAACACATTTTTAGCTGTTGTGCAATCAACAAGCCATGGTCTGGAGTTGCAGTTTGTGACTTTGGGAACTTTTAAATTGATAGAAGGAAGGGATTTAATTAAATACAATAAAAAGTTTTAAAACCAGCATTACACCGTTGGGGGAAACAAAACATTCAAATCTGTAAGTGGGTGATTTTTACAGCAAAATGGTTCTCCAATACAAATGTCAAGATCTGCAGTGAAGGACCCCAAGAACTATAAAATTTAAGGGTTTTTACGACAGGCCCATAATGTGATTATCAATAATTCTTGGAGAAACTTCAGCAGAGCAGAAAATGTGCATTAAACCCATCCATCAACTCGTAGCTTCTGATAAAATGACTGTTTGAGCTCTAGTGTTTTGAGTTTTTGGTCAGAGATTGACCAATTTAGGTCTTCAAATGCTGATTCCACAACCTTTTGGAGAAATCTGGGCAACTGATGGTTGATTTATGAACGTCAATTTTTTATTTTGTTTTGGCTGTAACATACTAGATTTTGGCTAAAGTAAAATAAACTGTTATTGAATGAATTTGGACCAATCCTTAAAGACAGGAGTGTGTTAGCCAATAAAGTACCTCTGTCCTGAAAAGTTGCTCATCACTGAAGGCACAACGTGAATTATCTTTTAGTCTGTTGTACTTGACACATTTAAAACAGCAGCTGTTACCAACATGCTTAATAAGATCAAGGCACTAATTAAAGAAAAAATAATGAGACGTAATTAAAAGCATTAAAAATAAGAACATGAAAAAACAATGAGAAACAATGAAATACTACATCAAATCACATTGTGTTAAATGTCAAAGAAAACAGGTGTGTTTTTAGGAGAGATTTAAAAGCAGCGAGTGAAGTGGCCTGTCTAATGTTGAGAGGCAGATTGTTCCAAAGTTTAGGACCCACGACTGAAAAAGCCCGATCTCCTCTGAGCTTCAGCCTGGTTTTTGGTGCAACCAAAAGCAGCTGATCAGATGATCTCAGCTCCTGAGAACGTACATAAGGTTGAAAGTAGGTCAGAGATAAGAGGGTGCAAGGTCATTTACAGGGAGCCAGTGAAGGGAGGACAAAACTGGTGAAATATGCTCAAACCTATGAGTTCCTGTTAAGAACCGATCTGCAGCATTTTGGATGAGCTGGAGTTGCGAGAGGGACACCTGACTGACCCCAAAAGCACGTTACAGTAATCTAGTCGGGTAGTAATGAAAGCATGGACTATTTTTTTCAAGGTCAGATCTGGACAACACGGACTTGAGCTTAGCTATCTGCCTTAACTGAAAGAAGTTGTTTTGTAGAACAGATTAATCTGTTTATTACACTTCAAGTCTGAGTCTAAAATCATCCCGAGATTCTTAACAGACTGCTTAAGATATGACTCGAGAGTCTAGGTTAATAGGAACAGAGACAGCAGTAGAGCTGCTAAACACAAAGACTTCAGTTTTCTGATTGTTGAAACTTTAAAAATTTGAAGCCGTCCATGCCTTGAGGGAATCAAGACATTTTAACAGAGGGTGAATTGTGCATGGTTTTAAGAGCAGATAAATCTGACAATCATCAGCATAGCCATGAAATGAAAGACTATGTTTCCTCAAGATAGACTCCAAGGGGAGCAGATACAATGAAAGCAGAAGGGGTCCAAGACTATAGCCTTGTGGGACTCCACAGGAAATAGGCACTGACACAGATACACTAAATACTGATGATACACAACACAATACACAGTGATACTTGTGCATTGTCTGATGTCTGGTGATGTAATGAAAATAAAAGAATCAGTGCACCTGATAGTAAAAGTTCCTTTCATTTTAGTCACATATATTTACTTGAAACGTTGGTTCTAACAGTAGAACCAGGGCAATAATGCACAATATTAATAAAACATGCAACTCAATTATTGTTGAACTTAATGACAATTGTATCAGTTGAGATAAACCCACATTTTCCACACTCCTCTCTTTTTCTACTGTCATTATGCTCACGTGTTATACTGTTTAGCTTTTCAGCTACATTCTAAATAAGCCATGAGCATTTCAAATAGTAGGCATCCATCTGATTACCAAATAAATGACTGGCATCTGGTTTGGGTTTGCGATTTATCATAATACATGGCAATAATAATGTTAGAATGACAATAAATTATTGACATATCCATATCCACCATAGTGATGGTGGTTTTATTAGACAATAGTGGGGTATTTTGAACTAAGAATACAACTTAGATGTAGCAGCCATTTTTGTTTTACGCCCCCTATTGTAAAAATTTGGTTTATACCATCAGCAGCTTCCAGTAAGGTGCAAACTGCAGCACAAAACAAGGTCACCTTTATAATGTACAATACATTTTGAAGTATGACTTCTGCCTGAGAGACAAAACAGCCTCCTTGGTGAGGACACACGCTGTAAGGCCTTTTGTCGCTGAGAAGTGCAGTTTTTCCACGTTAACTTCTGTCTTTAATAAAGTGTAGCTCTGCCTCATTCCGCTCTGAAAAACATCTCAGTACAGCAAGCTGATGTTACCATAATAACAAGAGGTGACACGAACAACTTGATATTGCAATTCCTTTTATAGCCGAAGGACAGCGTGTAACACAATCACACACACTCCGCAGAAGCGAAGCGTCGGTAACAGAAAGATAATGTGTTTGCTTTTCAAGGCTGTTTATTTCTTGCAGTTGCTGCTTGTGGCAGAGTTCACCTGCTTTTCTTGGCCCGCTTGTGTCTAGTTCTACAAAGGCAATAATTAGAGTGAACCCACCAACTACGAGACACTTTTATTTGTTGGCTGAATGAAGCATTGATTGCATGTGTTACTTACTGCAATCAGAGCACAATTATACGGGTCATAACACTGTAAAGAGTCTGACTTTGCAGTTCTTGTCTTGCTTTAAAATTGTTAAGGAAAATTTTATAGGGCGCTTAAGGACTTAGAGGGAAGCTCGTTGGTTCAGAATGGGATGTAAATGCTCTTTTTTTTAGCAAGTTAGTTATTATGAATGGATAGAAATCACCCTTAATTATTTTGGCGGCACGGTGGATCAGTTGGTAGAGCTGTTCTCTTTCTACGAGAAGGTCGCCAGATGTAATCCTGGGTGGAGTTTGTGTGTTCTTTCCATGCTGTGTGGGTTTTCTCCAGTTTCCTCCCACTTGTTAGGCTAATTATTAACACTAAATTGTCCCTAGATGTGAGTAAGTGTGAATAGCTGTTTCTATGTGTCCCTGTGATGAACTGGAGACCTGTCCCAACACTTCTCGCACAGTCACTGCTGGATATGGGCACCAGTGATCCCCGCAACCTGAATAGGAAAAAGCGGGTAGAGATAATGGATGGTTGTTAAGGTCTTTAAGTGTTTTTCCATGTCGGTGTACTGAAGCATCCTCTCCATTTTTTGTGCTACTTCGGGGTCCTCTGCAGCAGATTGTTTGACCATTAGGTGGCAACAATGTGCTGGTTTGAGATCTGGCAGTTCGAGATACAAGAAGAAAAGAAGTTCAAGAAGTTGTATCACTTGAAATACCAGCATTTTCAATAAAAAGTTAGTTTTTTAGACCAAGTATTCCTGTCACCTCTCTTTGTAGGTAGTTGAAGCCAGATGGACCCAGTTTGTGGGAGTTGTCATTTTGTTTTTCTAGAACCTAAGTCTGCACACTAAATGGTAAATGGACTGTACTTATGCACCTTTCTATCTTATCGTTATACTCAAAGCACTTTACACTACAATCTGCGCCTCATTTACCCATTCATGCAGCACTCTACATCTCTACAAAGCTAAGTGAACAAATCATTCTAAAGAGGCTAATCAGAGCTTTATCATATTCATACACTGATGGGACACACATCGGAGGCAATGAGGGGTTCAGTGTCTTGCCCAGGGACACTTCGGCATGTGACTGCTGGAGGATTCGAACCCCCAACTCTTGCATTGGAGGACGACTGCTCTAACCACTCAGCCACAGCCGCCCTAAAGATGTGGGGCTTTAGGACCTGGCTTCTCTGAAATACATTTAAAAAAATCTGAAATGTATTGTTTCTATTTTAACCAGGGCGGTGTTGGTTTTTTTTTTTTTTTTTTTTTTTTTTGGTTACGTGGAGTTGATGTACTGGAAACAGTCTGCAGGGAAGGTTGGTGCTCTGGTTTTAACTTCAGGGTTCCTGCCAGAGGTCTAATTTACAGTCTACAGTTACCTACAATACTGGTAGTTCTAAAAACAAGAAGTAAATAAGTTCAAGGAGTTTTGCATCAGTAATTGTTTTCTTCTTCTCATAATTCTCCTCGTTTCTTGTTCTCTGCTTAAGATTTGACTTGTTTTCTTCTTTGTCCGTTGAGTTTGGCACCCCCTTTAGGGCGGGAGTTCTATCATCTCGTACAGTGTAGGTCTGACAACCCCTCGATAGACGATACAAATACGCCTGTCACGATAGCAAATTTTGCTGGACGATTAATTGTCTCAGAAATTATTGCGATAAACGATAAAATTGTTTGAAATTTGACAATAATTATCAATTATCTTCAAATTTAAGAAGAAATGTTGGTTAATTTGTTTTGAATGTAGTACCTTTTTTGGACCAACGGATGACAGTATAAGACCGTTTGAACCGAGGGATGGATCGTGAGAGAGCGAGCAGCGTGTCTCTTCAAGAAAAATGGGAGGGAGGCCCCTTGACATGACATGGGCTGTCTCCTTTCTGTTTTTCTGGTTCTCAAAATGGCGGACGCTCTGTGTAGTTTGAGCTCTTTAGCATAACATTTGTCACACAGTTTTAATAATAAAAATAAATCAGCAAACAAGTTCTCAGCTTGTTTTTGCAGAGAAAAACAACTTTTTACATGAAGGCACGGGTTTCATCCATGAATTTTGGAGCTTCGACAAGACGGTGTTTTTTTCCCCGAGGTCAGCCTGTTAGCTTAGCTTGTAGCTTAGCTGCTTTTAATGATTCAAAACACGATTTTGGACGGTTAAAACAGATTTTAAAGCGAAAGGGAGGGGTCAGTGAAGAGCACCGGAGTTGAGACTTTTCTCATCCAGTGTCTTCAGAAAGAGAGAGACACGAAGAAACGATAAAGCCATTAAATGAAAATGATGTAGATAATTTTAATTTATCATGCGATTAATTGATTTATTGTTTATTGCGACAGGCCTAAATACAAACCCTTGCTGTCAGGACCAAATGACAAGTTTGTAGAATTTAAAAACGTGCATAAGGCACGGATAGCACTTAAAAAAATCACTTAGAAATATAAAAACTACTTTCTTATAACCAGGGCTTCAACTCATTGTACAAAAAAGAAACCGTCATTAAATTCCAGCAGCACAGACTCTTCAAACAAACTGTACCAGAACTCTTGCTACGTATAGATAGTTTGTTTGACAAAGAAATATGGATTTCCTTTCATCCCAGTTACTGGCTATTATTTAGAACACAGCAAGCAAGTTTTGCCATTTGTCAAGGCTCAACATTCTTATTTTTATTGAAGCTTTATTGACCATTCAGTCCGTGCACACCGGCTTACAAAAAGAGCTTTGTACATGTAGGAATTGCTTCGCATCCCCTGCTGCTGGCCTTTCTGTGGAGCAGTGTTTGAAAACTGTGGCCACATCTGAAGCCATTGTCCAGTTTCTGTAAATACTGAAATGTATTCTATGCCAGTACTTTCATATATTTCAAATGTTTTCTTGCCGTGTGTGTTTAATAGTAATTTGGATCGTTTGTTTCTTTCTTCAGAGAGCTCCTCCGCATCAGATAGGTGACACCACTTTACCTCGGAGTGACCCCAACCTCTCAGCACCAGATAAAGGTAAACACGCTATCTTAACGTATCTGTTTATGCTCTGTTCATACATGGACTGTCCACTCGACACTCTCAGGAATAGGTTCGGTCTTTACAGATAATCTCGTTTGTTGCGTTATATTATTTTAATATTTCTACATCGTGGTATCAGTAAATGCCCATTTTGTTATTTTCTCCACAAAAATAAAACTCTTCTCAGTTTGGTATCATTATGGAGGGCTACTAAAAATATCAGACGGCTTTGTTTCAAGGCAGCCGAGCAATTGTAATGAAACGTACAACATGGAAACTAATAAGTCGGAGGTTTAGTGTCTGACAGATATTTATCAGATTCTTCTGGTTTCTTTGTTTGCTGAGAAAGAAGCGTTTATTTGGCAAACATCTGTTTTTTTCTGACAATACCCGCACATTAGATAGCTTTGTTTAAACATAATCTTAGGTTAAAGCAGGGGTCTGCAACCTGCAGCTCTGCAGACTCGGCATGAACAATTTTTTTCTTACTTTTGGTCTTTCTTTTTACCCTAAAAAGTAAAAATATCAATAAATGTAAAAATTAATTACTGTATTTTTCGGCCTATAAATAAGTTTTTTTTACATAATTTACATGCCCTGCGACTTATACGCTGAAGCGACTTATTTATGGATTTTTTTCCCATATTTATAAACAATGTTTTGGCTGAGAGATGACCGTTTTCATTTATTCTGACTGAAAATATTGAACACTACCATTTTCAGCCGCTAAATGGCACTCGAGTAGTATGGCATGCCGCTGTGTCATGTAATAGGTAAAAGTAGCTATTAATTACACAATCGGCTTGCCATAGAAGCCACCTTTGTCCAGTTCGCCTGGAGCAACCGTCAAATCAGCTTCATTTTGCGAGCCGCCCCGGCAAAATGCAGCTAATCTGACCATTGAATTGCATTTATTAAGGAAAAGTTCAACTGAGACACACCTTTACTATAATGTCGAGCAAACAAATAATTGTTTTAGGTGCTTCCCTTGTTAGATTTTGAAAAAATGTGCAGCGTTCCTCCGTTCCTGATTTCCTCCCTGTCTGCACGCTCCCGGAGCACCGAGGCAGCGAATGCTTGTGAAAATGAAGCTGATTTGACCGTCCAAGTGCATTTATTAAGGAAAAGCTAGACACAGACCTTTACTATAATTTAAAGCAAACAAATAATTGTTTTTAAGTGTTAATCTTGTTAAATTCTTGTTAAAGTCCTCTCGTGCACGCTCCCGCAGCCGCCATTTGGCAGCCAATCGATTTTTGGCACAACACAGTTCCGGGTTGTCAGCGCTGACACACAATAGATGTGACGTATACGGCGAAGCGACTTATTTATGGATTTTTTTCACTTTATTTGACATATTTGGACTGATGCGACGGGTACGGCGGAAAATATGGTACATCTTTTTCGTTTTATAATGTCACCCCAACTGGCCAGAAAAGCCCTCCTCCTACGGCATCTAAGTGGCCCATGGGCCAGCAGTTGATAAGCAGGTTTTGCGGCTCCAGACTTTATTTAGTGAGCGAAGTGGCAGAAATGGCTCTTTAGCTCAAAAAGGTTGCAGACCCGTGGGTTAAAGCATAAAAATAAGTCGGGTTTTTTTTTTCTACGTCAAACTCTTTCTCTAATCTGAAAGAAACCCAAAGCTCACCTCCTACCAGCTCAGTCCCAGCGACTTAGTTTGTAAATTCAAAGAAAGTGACCTAACTAACTTATTTTGCTCCACTCTTCTTTAGCACGTCTCACTAACCTCACCTTTTTTTTGTGCGTTTTCTTGCAAAGAAACAAACCGTAATCACACGCTTTTTTTTTTTTCCCCACTGGCGCCGAACAATTACTGTGGGTGGCAGAAGAGACACCTTGAAATAAAGAGGGATGAGTGTAAATGTGAAAGCTTCCTCGTGACTCACACAAACACACACCTTCCCATGTGATTCAAGTGTGATGTGTAAATAAAGCTACGAGACATGAGTGCAGCAAACTGACACAATATGGTGACGTGGCCTCATTATACACATGACAGGGATAAAACGCGCATGAATTTACTCAAAGCCTGCTGCTGTATAAGTAGGTTTAATTTATTCTCTAATTATAACTTGAAATAATCTTCATGGTATGAAACATTTACTCTCAAACATATAATAAGAATAAAAAAAGGCCTTCTCTGGCCTGCTCAGCTGCTGATTTCAAAGGCTTTTAAACTTGTACAAATGCAGACCTCAACAATCGCCCGTTCAGTAAATTTAGTTTTGTTGCTGATTGTTTTATTTTTACTGAAATGTCTGCACCTGAAGTAGCTGCTTGTACTCACTGCTTGATTGAAAGTAAACTGTATATTCAGACTAAACAAGGACTCCTTCAGATTCGCAATAAACGTGCTAAATTTATTTCACCTAATCCACAAAAGGTTTACAAAAGTGTTGGGGCACAGAGCAGCAAGGATAAGCTTTTGAATGTGAAAAGAACATGAATATCAAAAGAACAAATAAAAATAAAAAAATAGTCAAAAGTGTATTTAGTTGAAATGACGACCAGTTAGTTGTAGATTTTTGCCTTGTTAATTATTTATTTGTCAATTTGCACCTGGCGGTCAATTCAATTCAGTTTATTTCTATAGCGCCAAGTCACAACAAAAGTCATCTCAGGGCACTGAACAGAAATATTCATATATATAAAAGTTAATAACGTTATTTATCTGAGGAGCAGCTTTGAGTTTAACTACATCGCAGACTCTCATCTTGAGCAAGCATGAAGGCGACAGTGGAAAGGAAAAACTCCCTCGTGAAGAAGAAACTTTTAGCAGAACCAGGCTCAGGACAAGCGGCCATCTGCTTCAACCGGCTGGGTTTGAGAGGAACAGGAAGGAGGAACAGATACACAATGGCAGGTCGACAATCGCATGCTAAGATAGATATAGTATCAAATGAAAACTATTTAGTTTTAGCAAATCATTTAAGGAAATTAGGTCAATTTGTCCTCAAGTAGTCTAAGCCTATGACAACATAACAAGCCAACCCTAACTATAGGATTTACCAAAAAGGGAAGTCTTAAGCCCAGTCTTCAAACTGGACAATGTGTCAGACAGAAACTGGAAGTTGGTTCCACAAGAGAGGAGCCTGATAACTGGAAGATCTTCCTCCCATTCTGCTCTTGGAGACTCTAGGAACCACAAGTAAACCTGCAGTCTGAGAGCGAAGTGCTCTGTTGGGAAAATATGGAACAATAAGATCTGTAATAATGGGGAGTGGTGGCGCAGAGGTTAGAGAAGATGGGCCTGTGATCGGAAAGTCGCAGGTTCTACTCCCGGTACCATCAAAATGTGGGTGGAAAAGGTGAAACACCCACACCTGCTTCCACCCTCATTCACCCCACTCTGAGCCCCTGAGCAAGGCTCTTAACCCCCACCATCTGCTCCCTAAACAGGTCTCTCTTGAAAACGAGTTCTCGGGACTCAGTGACACTACCTGTATAAATGTAGGATAAATTAAAAATAATAATAATAAGATGGAGCTAGGTTGTTGAGGGCTTTGTAGGTTAGAGGTAAGATTTTGAATTATATTCTGAATTTACCAGAGAGCCGATGGAGAGAAGCTACAACTGGAGCGATGTGATCTCTCCCACTAACTCCAGTTAAGACTCTGGCAGCAACATTTTGGATCAACTGAAGACTTTTTAAAGAAGTATTTGAACATCCAGATAATAAACCATTGCAATAGTCCAGGTCACTCTGTACCACCTTGGACAAACCATTAAAACAAAACCTACCTCTGTTCCTATACGCACTTAAATATGTTGCATCAAAGACATCATGTATTTTTTTTTTTCGTTCCCTGTTCAATTCCAGTCCAGAAAAACACTCATCTCGAAAACAACAAACATTCACTAGTCAAACCCCTCAGCGACCGGCACGTCTGTACCACTTGTTTCAGTTTGCTGCGCACTAAAGTGTAGGTGATGTCAGTTATTTTAAAATTGTCCCAAAAAATCTGCCTACTAATCAGTCCCAATCAAATCAAATTGTTTACGACCAAACAATAAAACAAAATAAAATCAGCTTCGAACGTCTTGTGAAATAGGTACAACTAAAAGCCCTAGAAAACCTAAAAAAAAAAAAGTATCTTTACCATATAATTACGAATTCATTCGATGAGCGGCACAAAGCTTTTGCTAAAAACATGTTGGACGTGTTTTGATCCCGTTTGATTGACAACGAGCAAACAAGCCAACAAATGTCATCAGTGTTTGTTTTTGACGAATGCGGCATTGCATTATTTCCACGCAGCTGCGCCCACATCAAAGAAAAGGAATAAATATGTCATGTGTAATAACCCAAACTATTCCGAGACAAGCAGGCACAGTTCATGTTGAATCCCATCACTCGGAGCTGATTGATGGTTTTAAAGGATTTAAAGACTTGTTTTCTTCTCTGCCACATTTCAGGAAGTGTTATACATTTGTTCTGAGAGCGTATTGAGGCAGTTTGTCACGTTTTCCATTACGCCGTCATACATTTAATATGTGCACGTCTCCGCTGTGCTCTGTGTTTTGTTTATTTTTTTTGCACGCTGTCCTGTGTGTTACATGACCTGTGGTGTTTCTGTGTGTCTGCTGCAAAGTGAGATCTACTCCCAGTAGCTGGAGCCTAGACAGTGTCAAAGAGGGTGCATCATCTCTCTCTAACTATCCAGGCAAACTGGTGTGCCCTCCTGTACCTCCTAGGCCACCGTACTCAGGTAAACTGGTCAAACCCTCTGCTGGAGTATAGCACTAATTTTCCAGTCTGACTTTTGACACCTGGTGCTCTCACCAGCTCTTCTTACAGAAACGTCTGCGCCTCTCTGGCCTTCAGCTTCTGATGTCTTGTGTAGCAGCTAGGGTTGTGCAGATGTGTCAACACACTACTAAGAAGCAAATCAACACAACACAGTGACACTGAGTGCAATGCAATATGACGTGAAAAAGGACTAACCCTGTCTTTAAATGACGCTGACTGTTTTAGTTTAGATGCAACAGAATTAGCTTCTGCTCATCCAATGCATTGTAGCGCGTTGCCAGCAGCGCAGCCAGCAGATGTTCGTTCTGCTCTTGTTGCGTTGTGCAGCAGCAGCTGTTGGATGTAGAAACAGTTTAGAGCAGCCTGAAGGACCTGCAGAACATCAGTGCTCATTCGATTCCTTTTCCTTATGACCACCGGCCATCTTTTCTGTGCGTTTCTGTTTGCATGACTCGTGCCGTGTCTTCTTGACGAGTGCAAGAAAAGGCTCTAATTTCAATTTTCCCTTCTTCCCCTCTACGTCGGCAGGCTCCTTGGCTAAAAACGCGAGGTCGCAATCCCCCGGCCCCATGTCCAGATCTCCTCAAAAGGTTGGTTCTGTTCTTGTCCTGTTTTTACTTTTCCCCGACGGCCCGGAGCTGCTCACTCTTTCCTGCTACCATCTTACTGGTCTAATGTGGGGTTATTATCCTTCTCTGTGTCAGCCAGACGACTGTGAGGCTTTGCATTACTGCTCAGTGAAGCTGTTAACAGCTCCGCCGCTGCTGATTCGGTACTTTTCATGTCAGCGGTCCCAAAAGGGCCCCCAGAACGGGACTGGCTGCAGGGCATTCATTGTTTTAGCTAAATATACTCCAGTCTCTGGGAGGGTGTCGCCTGTTAACTGGAAATCCACAAAAGCAGATGACTATATTAAGCCTCTCTTCTAGTGTTACTTATTGCTGTCAAATGACAATGTCTATCCATGCCTATGTATGTATGTTTGAAAAAAATAAACAGCTACTTTTGAGCCTGTTTTAACACTTGAAGTCTTGAAACAGTCTTCCTAACGTGTGTTCATATTTTCTATCCTCCACTATTCACCCTAAATTTATAAAGTGTTACAACAATATAAATTAAACAAAGAAACATCCTTCCCTGTCCACTGTTAGTCAGTCATGTATGGTGAAGGCCTACCAGTAATTATTATTGACTGCAGTGGCTTTTTTATTTGTTTATTTATTTCTTTGCAGAGATGTAAAGATTTCAGACAAACGATGCATTTCATCGAGGACGACAACGATAACGTTACAAACACCGATATATTTTACCTCTACATTAGATTTATTGTTCTGGATAAAGGTTTGCAAGGCAATAGCCTATGTTATCTAAACGTTAGCTTACTAATTTGAGAGGCACGTAGCTAATGACAAGCAGATTGGAGGATTGAAGAGAATTTTTTGTTGATTTTTTTATTTATTTTACAGATCAGTTACAATAACTCTACCATGCTCTGTCCAGCAAAATACACTACGCAGTATTTAGTTATTCCCTGCTTCGGCTGTGCTGAAAGTGAAACCTCACGCGTATGACTTGAAAGTAGTTCGTATGCACCCCCTGCTGGATACATTGTACAATTACGTCTGGTTTCCAGCACTTTAGCGGTGAAAATTAGAAGTGTTTATATCAGCGCATAATGGGACAATTATCACAGATGTCTCCTAACATATCGACCTAAAATATCGGCTCTACCGATGTATCGGTCAGCTCTAATTTATAGATTCTGAGCTAAACTAGCTGAAGAGGAACTTTGAGCACGCTTATCTTGTTTTGACATGTCTAGCTGAAAAGTATGCAACTTTTTTAAACAGTCAAAAGGTGAAGGAAAGTAAAAAACTTGGTACTAAGTTTAACACAGTAGAAAGATACTCCGACGTATAACCTTTTTCTATCAGTATGCCTGTTAGCAAAATATGTTATTTTAATGAAATTATTAGAAAGTGGTGATCGGATGCACATCAGCAACTCTAACTTTTGCAGTCAACCCAGTTCAAGCTAGCCTCCATGGCTAACTGACATAAGTCAAAACAAAAATAACTAGAACTTTGTCAATTTTACAGATATTCAGCTTAGGCCTGTCACAATAACAAATTTTGCTGAGCGATTAATTGTCTCAGAAATTATTGCGATAAACAATAATATTGTTTGAAATTTGACAATAATTAGTAATTATTGTAAAATTTAAGAAGAAATGTTGAAGTTATTTTGAGTGTAGTACCTTTTTTGACCACCGGGTGACAGTGTAAGACTGTTTGAACCGAAGGATGGATAGTGAGGGAGCGAGCAGCACGTCTCTTTAAGAAAATGGGAGGGAGGGTCCTTGACGTGACATGGGCTGTCTCTCCTTCCTTTTTTTCCCGGTTCTCAAAATGGCGGACGCTCGTTGTGGTTTGAGCTCTTTAGCACAGCATTTTTCGCACAAAGCTTTTAATTTAAAAACTCAGAAAACAAGTTCTCAGCTTCTTTTTGCAGAGAAAAACAACTTTTTACATGAAGGCGCCGGGTTCCAGCTGTGAATTTTGGAGCTTCGACAAGACGGAGGTCTTTTCCTGATGTCGACCTGTTAGCTTAGCTCGTAGCTTAGCTTCTCAGCTTAGCTGCTTTTAACAACCCAAAAACACGATTTTGGACGATTAAAATAGATTTTAAAAGAGAAAAGAGAAAGGGAGGAGTCAGTGAAGAGCACCGGAGTTGAGCTTTTTGTCATCCTGTGTCTTCAGTAGAAACGATAAAGCCGATAAATGAAATTGAGGTCGATAATTTTCATTTATCATGCGATTAATTGATTTATTGTTTATCGCAACAGGCCTAAATTAGCTAAAATTTGAAATTATGGTAGCCGGCGGAGTCTTTTACAAAAACACGTTCTTTGTGTGACATCTGACAACACTGCGTAGTATTCTCAGCAGCTACATCTTCGCCATTTCTCAGTGTTTATTGATCTTAGCCTAAAAGGCTGGCGTGGAAGGTGACGGGTGAGATGTGCTTTTTAAGGAATGCTAAACGGTTAATATGTCTACAAAGACTGTTTATTAATGTTACTATTACTGTGATAAGACTGTTTGCTGCGCTTTTTGTTCCCTTCAACATCCATCAACTAAGCTGTTCAAACGAGTGTTTGATACTTCTGACCTCGGATACTTTTTTTTATAAATATCTACAGACAAACTGGTTAATCTCAGTTTGCCTTGGAGCTTTGATTCATCGTTAATGAGCCTCTTATTAGTTAATAGCAGCCAGCCGTAGCAGAAGAGGTTTGGGAAAGGTTAAGTGAGCGCTGAGAAAGCTCTTAATGAGGGTAAAAAGTTGTTTGGGAACAGAGGTTCTTCTTCTGCTCGCCGCCGTGGTCTTTGTGAGCTTTTTGCAAACAACGTAAGCTCCCAGCTTCGCTTGCAGGTGTGATGTCTTCTCACGTGTGACAGCTACCAGAACGTGTGTGTGTGTGTGGTCTGCTTGTAGAATGGGAAGAGAGATTACCAAAGTGTGAGTGACAGCTTGGCGCTCGGTGTGTTCTGTCAGTCAGATTGGTGTGTGATGAAGTGTGTGCCATATTTGTTTGTGCGGCAAAAGAAGAGGCCCGGAGCGAAGCACCAAGCTGCCCATCACTGCACAGCAAATGACGAATCCTCTGTGGGCCTCCAGCAGGGTCCCATTATCTGCTGCATGAGCGCACACGCACCAAACACGCACACACAAACATCAGTTTGTGCAGCCAGGGGCCCATTACCAGACTGCAAACCCTAGGGCAACACAGAACCTGCAGAAAAAACATGTAGCCGCTCTGACAGGGCTGCACTTACTCATACCCAGAGGTAAAGATGATACTTGGAAGAAGGTTGTCTTTGGCAGAGACAGCCAGGAGTTTAAATTATTTACTGTATTAAATGTTTGACTTTTAATCATCCTTGACCATCCTTGCTTGAGTCTTACTGATTAAAATAAGCAGAGTGGCAGCATGGTGCAATATCAAAACATCCTGTTATGTCATTTTCTAAAAGACTTCTTGACTATATGACCTTTATTCTTTTATTTTAGTCATTTTAGCTAAAAAAATAAATGGCACATAAGCATTTATACGAGTAAAGCCATTATGAGTCTATTCTAGAATCAGCTGTGTAGATGATTAAGTAAAACGAGTAAATTTCCCTCAGGGAAGTGACGATTTCATACTGTTCTGTGTGTTTTATTATTAAATTGTAGCATCAAATCAATCTAAAGCAGATAAAAACAGAAGTTAGAGCTTTATGAACAAATAAAGCCCAGTGTTTGTAGCTTACAAAGAGGAAGAAGGCCCACCTAACCTTTGCATCCAGCTCACAGTTGTGTGTATTATATTCATCTGTAAGTGTATGCAGTTGAGTAAAATAAACATTCATTCTATGTATAGAATAAATAATTCTAATCCAATCTTGATTTGAAAGAAAAAGTTTCATTATTGATGAAAAACAACTCCTTTATACTTCTGATGTTTGCACCGCTCAAAGTAATAAACCAGATAATTATAATCAGCGTTTTTGTCTCTAGTGAAAAACACAAACGTGGTTTTATCTGCACTATATGTTTCTCGGAGATGTAATTCAGCACAGATATTTTATTAATGGGGTAGCTGTTGTTTTGAAGTTTGCAAAATATATTATTTTTGTAAAGCCTTATTAACTATAAATAAAAATGAGAAAGAAACTTGAGGTTTTTAGTGACAAATATTGTTCAGTCCATTTATACCTGGACTAGGATGTAAAAGTTACCAAAATTCTGTCTTAGGCTGATTAAAAAAAAAAAAATCTTTATATTATTTGTCCATGCATTTATTCTAACAAAAATGTTGTAATACCCATGCTATGCCACTAGGTGTCAGCGTTAACAGCATATCAAAATATAGAGAAAGAACATTCCTAGTTCGGCTGAAGCCTGTTCTAAAAACTCTTTGTTTTGTATGACATTGTTTACAGTTTTTGCTCAGTTATAACCATTTCAGCACATGATCAAAGTTCAACAGCAATAGGTTGAAGAAAAAATTAGATAAGTCCATAAAAATTTAGTTTTTCTAGGACACAAAGTGATTGCAAGCATGTACAAATGAGGTCAATTAGGTCAATGTTTCTGAAAAATTCTGTATTATCTGTTGACACATACATACAGGAAACAGATTTTAAACATCTCAAATTTGGAAAAGGTTTTTAAAAACGACACTTTTATGTAACATAAATTAACAGTTGATTAGCTTCCTCATGTTCCATTGATCAAAGCAGAGTGTCATCTGCATAACGGCGAAATTCAAGTCATATTTTCATATATCTCTCAGAGGAAGTAAATAAATAGAAGTAGTCCGAGTCCAACATAAATCTAACATTTGTGTGCATATATAAGATGTACAAACTGGAATATATCAAATAAATATTATTTAAACCAGCTCACAGCTCTATTTGTCCAGTCTTATTATACATTTATTTGTTTGTGTTAGGATGTTGTGGTCAAAACATTTGAGTTGTTTAAAGCATTGATGGTGTGTTTTTATTGGTCAAAACTAAACTCTGTTTGACTCAAATAATTTAAATAAGCAGTGAACCATTTTCCTGTTAAATATAAAAAGTAAACAAAGAAACTGATTTTATAAACAAATCTTTCTGTCCCTTGTCTCTCCGTAGACCACAGTCCCACCTTTCACCCCTTCACCCACTGAGTGCCAATCTGCCAGCCTGGTTTCCAACTCCCCCGTCTTGTCTGGCAGCTACAGCAGCGGCATCTCCTCCCTGAGTCGCTGCAGCGCGTCAGAAGCCTCCGGCACGGAGCTGCCCACCGGTGACCACCCGCCCTACCCTCAGCCCCCGCCTATCACCTTGCCAAACTCTGTTTCCAGCAGCTCGGACGAGCCGATCCGCAGGGAGAACAAAACCCCGCCTCCCTACAGCGTGTACGAGAGAAACAACCCTCGAAGGCCTGTGCCGCTGCCCCACAGCCTCTCCATCCCCCCACAAACAGACCCGCCGGCCCTGCCGCCCAAACCTCACCAGCTCCGCACGGGCAGCATGAAGCTGGACGGGAGCGCTGATCCTCGAGTGCCCAGACCGAGGCCCCTGCCCAGGAAGGTGTCCCAGCTATAGGTGCTGTTTCAGGTCCATTGGAAGAGGAAATAAACACACACACTGGCGTATTTTGCACTTTTCTAACTTTTTTTGTGATCTTGAGTTTGGCATTCCTGACACACCAGTGGAAGACCTGCAGATCAACAGACCATTACAAGGAACGGTAAAACTTACCGGACGAAGAACGTTTCTTTTTGTATTCACTGGAGGCGTTGCGTTGACTTGGACATGGTCTTTCTGCACTTTTATCTCTAGTACACACAAGTCAGTGATAACACCAGAACATTCTAGACAAATGAGACGGTTTTCATAGAAATAATAATCTCAGATATATGTATATTGGTATATATGAGAATTGTTTTTGCCTTAAGTATTGGAAACAGAGTCTTTTATCTGTGATTCTTGCACGTTTTATGTTTTTTTTTTGTTTTGTTTTTTTTACTTTTAGTTTTATAACTCAGTATGTTTGTATACTGTTTGGCTTACAAAGGTGCTAGAAGCCTTGAGTTTGCTTCAGTAACAGACAAGGGTCTGTTCTCATAGTCATTTCCTGAAAAGTGCAAAACTTTGACTTATCACTTACACTAATACTGTATGCAACTCCATTGCTGAAAAAGTTGGGACAATGAGGTAAATGTGACATAAAACAGAATGCAGTGATTTGTAAATCTCAAATTTTAATCTCAATTAAGCATAGCAATATATCAAATATATTTTTAAAAGGTGGTACTATATATATATTTTTTAAAAGGTCATTTTGAGTTACAGGAACATGTTTAACTCTGTTAGTCATCCCCTTTTTGTTTAACAGTCAGTAAACAGGATGGTGCTCACAGATGGCTTTTTTTTTTTTGTGCATGATAGAGCTTTAACCTTTATTTGTTGATGTTCCTGAGCCCGTGTGCTCATGTCCAGAACAGAATCAGACCTGTTTTAATGTGGTGGTCCCTGAGTTTTTGACTTTCAGCCTCATCCTTGAGCTCAGGTAATTTTCCAGCTTATTAATTTTGTTCTGACATTATGAGCTGTAGTTGATGGGATACAGTAGTACATTCCACACAAACTCCCGCGATAGGCTTTATAAATCCTTCCCACACTCTTGCAATGTTCTGAACTCTTAAACCTACGTCATTTTCACAACATACATATATGTAGCTACTAAATTTTACTCACTAGCTCTGCAGAGCAGCAGCTCTGTTTCGGTTCAGCAGACCTACCCTGCAGCGACGAAGCCCACTGCCCCATCCAGGGGCACGTGGATAATTGAGCTTCAGGAAGCTTCCGAATTATTTACGACTTTCCTGCCAGTTCTGTGAGCTTCATAGATAGATTGTTACTTCTGACTGCGTTGCAAAACTTTCCCTCAATTTCGGCAGAAAGCAGCCTCTGGAAGCAATGTTGGCTTTTGGGTAATGTAGTTCTTTTGACTGGTGATACAGTGTAGGTTTATTAAAAAAAACTATAAGAAAGCAGTGGCCGAAAGCACTGTTGGCTTCTGGGTAATGTAGTTCTTTTGACTGGCGGTAAAGTTAGGCTTATTGAAAGAAAACTACAAGAAAGCAGCCGCCGGAAGTACTGTTGGCTTCTGGGTAATGTAGTTCTTTTGACTGGCGGTAAAGTTTAGGCTTATTGAAAGAAAACAAGAATGCAGCAGCCAGAAGCACTGTTGGCTTCTAGGTAATGTAGTTCTTTTGACTGGCCTTACAGTGTAGGCTTATTGAAAGAAAAACTACAAGAAAACAGCGTCCAGAAGCGCCATTGGCTTCTGGGTAATGTGGTTCTTTTGACTGGCCTTACAGTGTAAGCTTATTGAAAGAAAACTACAAGAAAGCAGCTGGGTAATGCACTTCTGTTGACTGGCGATATAGTTTCGGCTTATTGAAAAAAAATTACAAGAAAGCAGCAGCCAGAAGCACTGTTGACTTCTGGGTAATGTCGTTCTTTTGACTGAAGTTTTGACTGGTGATACAGTGTAGGCTTACTGAAAGAAAACTATAAGAAAGCAGTGGCCAGAAGCACTGTTGGCTTCTGGGTAGTTATTTTGTCCGGTGATACAATATAAGTTTACTGAAAGAAAACTACAAGAAATCAGGGGCCGGACGCACTGTTGGCATCTGGGTAATGTAGTTCTTTTGACTGGCGATACAGTGTAGGCTTATTGAAAGCAGCGACCAGAAGCACCGTTGCCTTCTGGGTAATGTAATTCTTTTGACTGGCCTTATAGTGTAGACTTATTTAAAGAAAACTACAAAATGGAGGTGCCTGTCCGAAGTTTTTTTCTCGTTAACATTTATCTCGTATCATTCCAATCATGTAATATTATTGACAAGCGTTGAAAACCCGCGAAAGAGCCAGTCCAACGAAAGTCGAACCGTGAAGTAGCGAGGGACTACTGCATTCAGTCTTTTCAGTTTTTCATTAAGAAACATTATTCCGTAAATGTTCCACTTTTTAAACGCAGTTTTTCCACACTGGTGAACCTCTGCCCATCTTTACTTCAGGGCGACACAAGTCTTTCTAAAATGCTATATTTATATTTAGGTCCTCTTACTGACTTGTTGTCAATTAACCTATTTCGTTTTTTTAAATAGGACTACTTAACCTATTTGTACAACCTTCTTTTACAGCCTTTTATTGCCCCTGTCCCAACAAAATCACCTTATTTTCGTCCAATTTCATAAACATCTAATATGGTTACTATGTTCTGTTTATGGGATTTGCAAATCATTGCATTCTATTTTTATTCACATTCTGCACAAAGTCCCAACTTTATTGAAATTGGGGTTTATTCAACTTATGTCAGTATTGTGCCTCATATAACAATTCTGATCATGTTTAGGACCACGTTTGGTGATTTTTCATCAGCGATGTTTAATTTCAGCACAATGATGATGATTCATTTGAGGCCTATAGAACTTCTCACGGTAAATTAGAAAGTCAAAGTGGTTTTAAGAGGTAAGCTGCCAAACTTGGACCAAATGCATGCATAGACTTGTCACAGTGGCCATTTCTGTTTACGTGACCACATCCTGCTCCTCCTGCATGACACGCTTATAAAAACAAACGTTTTAGAGCAATTTTGGTGCCAAAGGAACGATCTCCCACCATTTTAATTCTAAAAAGCACAGTTTGACCAGTACTGTTTTTAATATGAACCTGAAAGAAGGAATTGGAAGTGACTTTTGCAATCATTGATGACCTTAGAAGTACTTCGACAGGAGAAATGATCTCAATGAATGGTCAAATATTTGTACAGCTGAGATTTGCTTTCTGTTTAATTGAAATATGGACGTGAGTTGACTGCACTATAAATAATTGCTCAGTTCAGCCGCACCACGTTGCTGCAGTGAACTACATACTCTGTGGCATACATGTTTTACACTGTTTTGTAAAATAGAGGAATTTTTAGCACAAAATATTCAGCAGTTAACTCAGATTCTTTGGGAGAGTGGTAGTGGGTAGTTTTAGTATTGTTTGTATGTATTTTTTGTGAATTTCTGAGATTAAATATTCACATTAATCAGTACTTGAGAAGATGTAAATTATGAGCAGATTGATGTAAGTATGCCAAATATAAAAATTTGTGTATTGCAATTATTGTACATATTGTGTTTTTAACAAAAAAAATGATAATAATGTAGCTATAACAATTTACAGCTTTGAATGTAATGTTGAAGCAGCAAATGATTATAAATGTTCAAACTTTTATTTTGTGAGTGTAGAAAAACTAGTCATGTGAAATGACTCCTGATTCATTTACAAGTTCAATAAACTGCCCGATGAAATACAGATGGAAGGTTTGATCACCATTAAAGGTGAGCGAACATGTCTGCGTGTGTGTCTGTTCGCAAAATATCTCATGAACTACTGGGAATATTTTAATTAACCCATTTGAAAGGGAACACTGGATGTACATCTAAAGCTGACAAACTTTTGGAGTTTGTTCCATTTAAGATAGCCACCATCGCTAATTGAACTAAGCAAACTCAAAAATGGCTTATGGAAGATGACCGACAAAACTTGTAGAGTGGGTAGGGTATGACATATCAACATTAAGACTAGGGATGCACGATATTATCGCCAATATCGGCCGATACAGTGCCGATAATATCGTGCATCCCTAGTCTTAATGTTGATATGTCATAGTTGTCCCCTACCCACCATCCTGACCATTACGATGAGTTCATGATGGCCGGAATCAAAGTGAAAGAGCGGTCAACCAGCAGTCCATCCAAAGACCATGCAAAATAATGTATTTTAATTCCACAGCAGAGAAAGCTATGTGGTCTCTGTAAGTAGATCTAGGAAAAAAGTATCGGATATCGGCCAAAAATCCAATATCGTGCATCCTTAGTTCAGACAAAAACAAACCCTAACACATTTTTCTTATTATTGACAGGCGAACAATTCATAAGCCTCAAGTAAAGCCACATTCCTGTGCCTCTTTTAAAGCTAATCTTGGTAAGTTAATTAAAAATCCACATCAAAAGCCAAAGTTCAACGGTTGTGGTCCTGATGAGGACGTTCCAAAAGGTTTTAAAGAGGATTTGGACTCACTGAGCAGCACAGGTGTTGCTTGTTAAACTAACGATGTGAGCAGTGAGCGCCTCAAGCTGCTTCAGACACTTTTATTCCTGTTTGTATTAGTAAATTAATGTTGCTAAAAGTTTATTTAGGATTACTGCGTACGCTATAAACCATTTGCTGCCCTGCCACCGTGCACCTGCGCCTGTTTTGGGATTTATAAGAATTAAAAGCAGCTCAGGTAAGCCCTAAAGATTCACTTTGTCCCTTTAACTTTTTGAATTCATTTAATCTTTAGTTTCTTTGTTTTTGATGAAACCTCCTGTTTTATTAGGATATGAAATTTTAGACAAAACGCTAGCTAAAACTTTTGGGCATATTTTTCAAATGGCAAACTATAAGGTAAAGGAAAAATGTTTTCTAAGGTGCAGTGAATGTAAGATGGTAACATGAAGGTTCAAGTTGGTTTATTGAGCATAAAAATATAGAATTTCTTTTAACTCTGAGTGGAAAAAGTGTTTGCAATGTTAAT